CACAAATTAAGCATGGTCAAAGGAGGATATTTTTATTTGTATTGTTGCAGTGCCAGGACATCCTAGTCATGGATCGAGGTCCCACTGTGCCGGACACTATAGACACAGGCAACAAAAGATAGTTCCAGTCCCAAAGCACTTACTATGGGTATTTCTCATTGCAAGAGGAATAACAGGTAGTTCGAACTAGGGCTTTATTTCGAACGCCCATTTCACTGCCGCGTGTAGATGTGGGCAGCTACATCGGGCTTGTAAATTTCAAAAAATGGCGCCCAGCCAGGAAGATGCTAATCAAGCGCAGGATATTTAAATTACAGGCTTGATTTGCAATTCCGAAAGCCTACATTTGCAGCCCTAGTTTGAATTAGGCTGCAAGTGTAGACATACCCAAAGAGTGTGTCTACACTGAAAGCCATTATTTCGAAATAATGGTGAGCTGGAGGACTTCTTACTCCCACCTCTGTAGCCCTCATTTTATGAGGAGTAAGGGAAGTCAAAGGAAAAGTGTTTTTCCTTTGACTTCCTATTTTGTAGACAGCGCCAAAAGCCTAAATAAGCTATTTTGACTTAAGCTATGCAATTGACGTAGCTCAAGTTGCGTAGCTTAATTTTACTTTTGCTCTGTTTTGCAGACATGCCCCGTGTGAAGTTTTTTTATCTACCTTATTTTATGATAACCCTGTTTATCCTATTCCCTACTAATATGTGGGGAAATTTTACATACAGTCTCACAATGATTGAATCAATTCTCTTATTTTATCACCACGACAAACTGAATGTACTAAATCCCCAAGTTGTAATCCTGACATTATTTAAATAATGGCAAACATCACTGGGGCACAGATCTTATATTAAGTGGTTATATATTTTTATCAATTCTCCTGCATGCTGCAAAAATTTTATTTTTTCAACTCGTTCAATAAAATGAATGAAATACTCAGCAACACAACCTACTGAAAACATCCAAACACACCTGTGCAGACAGTAGACACAGTAGGTAAATGGATGGCTATATATAGCTGGTCAAATATAAATCAGACACAGTAAATGGATGGCTATATATAGCTGGTCAAATATAAATGTGATTTTTCTGAATGGGGGCCATAGAAATCTTGCATCCAATGATTTCTTTTGAATATTCCCAGCAGGAGTCACAGAAAGATTTTGAAACTTCAGACAGAAGAAAAGATTGTGTCCTAATACATTTAGCAAGGTGATAATGCAAACCACTGGGAAATATAGAGAGGTGAAGAGGAAATTTCATTCCCTGGCTAGAGAGTTATATAATGTTTATCGACAGGAAACAGGTTTTTTTGGGAGGAAGATATCCCTTATTTCTGTGTCCAACCTCCTGCTCCCAACCAATTACAAAGAAAGCTCTGGTGAAGTGGTAGCTAAATGGCATGTCTTCTCAGATGTGACTTTTCTCTTTACTCTGTATTGGTGGTATTGCCAACACTGATCTCAAACTCCATCATGTTCCCTTGCTGGTGCCAACCTAAGCGGCTCTTCCTCTAGGATTGACAGAAACTACCAAATGTTCTTTGTCACAATGTGATTTTTGAAGAAGGTTTGGGTGAGATTTTTTGATGTCCCACTGAGACACACACTGGAAACCTGTCCAGCACCAAAGGAATATCATGAGATGAGAGATACTTCTCTTAAGGGAGAAGCGGTGGATGTGGTATACCTAGACTTTAGTAAGGCATTTGATATGGCTTATGATACCGTTTTCAGGTATCTAAAAGGGTGTCATAAGGAGGAGGGAGAAAACTTGTTCATCTTGGCCTCTGAGGATAGAACAAGAAGCAATGGGCTTAAACTGCAGGCAAGGGAGGTTTAGGTTGGACATAAGGAAAAAGTTCCTAACTGTCAGGGTAGTTAAACACTGGAATAAATTGCCCAGGGAGGTTGTAGAATCCCCATCTCTGGAGCTATTTCAGAGTAGGTAAGATAAATGTCTATCAGGGATGGTCTAGACAGTATTTGGTCCTGTCATGGGGGCAGGGGACTGGACTTGATGACCTCTTGAGGTCCCTTCCTAGGTCCCAGTCCTAGTATTCTATGATTCTTTGATTCTAAGTGCAGCCAAATACATCATAGACAAGTTGTGTGTCAACTACGGGTATGTCTACATTACAGAGTTTTTTTTCAGAAAAACGGCTGTTTTTCTGAAAAAACTTCATTTACGTCCACACTGCAATCACGTTCTTTCCAAAAAAAAATCAAAAGAACAGAGGGTTTTTTCCAACATTGGTAAACCTCTTTCTACGAGGAAGAAGCCTTTTTCCGAAAGAGTCCTTTCAGAAAAAGACATGTATGGACGGGGAAGAGGGAGTTCTTTCGAAAGAGGAGGAAAGAGTCTTTCAGAACGCGTGCAGTCTAGACGCTCTCTTTCAGTTCTTTCGAAAGAGGAGGAAAGAGGAAAAAGCACAGGTGCCCTAGTGGCCATTCCGTCCATAGTAATCACAACTTAAATGCGACATAGCGTCAATTCAGTGTGGACACTATTTTTCGAAAAAACAGATAGCTTTTTCCATGCGCTTCGGCAGTGTGGACACACTTTTGAAAGAAGCCTGCAGTCTAGACGTAGCATAGTTTCTTTATGGAAATCAACAGTCCTCATTACAATCCTCTTTTTCAATATTACTGTTATGTCTACTACAGCTATATTCCTCCCTCACAATCAATTAACATTTTATACTGCCTTACAAATGAATGAAAAATAAGGGTATTCGCTCTCCAAATGAATGAAACTCAGAACGCTGGATTGTTATTACTGGACTCAATCCCTTTTCACAAATCTGTTTTATAGCAAGAGTGGACTTTACAGAAGCTGCGCTCTTACTTCTAACTTAGTCAGATTAATCGCGTGCTTCTGCACAATCCCAGCTCAATGATCTCCCTACCCCTTTTTAAAAATGTGGAAATAATTACAAATCTTTGTGTTAAAGCTGACAACAAATAATTCAGTTACAACTGTCTCTGCCTTATTGTTAGCAGAGATGTTAAATGGTTTACCAGTAAGCATGACATTTACCAATATGTTTACCAATTAACTGATCCTTGGCAGCAAACTCTGAAGGTGTCCAGCCTTGCCGTGACAGAGCAGGCCTGGTTGGCGAGTCAGACAGCTGGATCTCACAGTGGGACCCTATGGTCACAACCACAGTGGGGCCAGGTGGCCGGCTGGCTGGCAGGACCTGAGTTAATAAGTTAACTGGTTACGTGTTCTCATGTTAACTGTTAACCATACCTAATTGATAGTTATTATTTGTATGACCAGAACCCGTGAGAGCCAGAATCATGGACCCACACTGCATTAGGTGCTGTACAAACACAGGACGGAATGTCTCAGAGGAGCAGGCGTATTAATCTGTAACTACAAGGACAACGAGAAGTCCTGTGGTACCTTAGGGTATGTCTACACAGCAGGGCTAAAGCTGAATTAAGATACTCAACTTCAGCTACATCAATTGCATAGCTAAGTCAAAACAGCTTAATTCAACTTGTGGCGCTGTCTACACAGCAGGAAGTCAAAGGAAGAACACTCTTCCTTCGACTTTCCTTACTCCTCATGAAATGAGGGTTTCCATGAGTTGGAGTAAGAAGTCCTGCAGCTCTCCATTATTTCAAAATAAATCCTTGTAGTGTAGACATGCTCTTTGTTATTTCGGAATAATTTAGCTATTCTGAAATAAGGCTACTGTTTAGACATCCCTTCGGGATTAACTCAAAATAAGCTATGTAAATTGAGCTACATAATTTGCATAGTTTATTTCCAAATAGCTTATTTTGAAATTGGGAGTGTCTACACAGCACTTATTTCGAAATGGAGTACTCTTCCTCCGACTTCCCTTACTCCTCATACAATGAGAGTAACAGGAGTCGGAGTAAGAAGTCCTCGACAGTAATTCGACATAGTCCGCGTCTACACAGCAGGCAGTTGTTTTGAAATTATTTCGAAATAATGTTGCTGTGTCTATGTACCCTAGGCTGTGTCTAGACTGCAGTTTTTTCGAAAAAAATAGCCTTTTTTAAAAAAAAACATCACCTGCGTCTAGACTACAGCCGCGTTCTTTCGAAATTAAATCAAAAGAACGCGGCTTTTCTTTCCATGGCGGTAATCCTCATTTCACGAGGAATAACACCTTTTTTCGAAAGTGTTCTTTCGAAAAAAGGCGTTCTTGAATGCAAACAGGGCTGCAAACAGACTGCCTGGGTGCTCTCTTTCGAAAAAGCGGCTCGCTTTTTCGAAAGAAGAGGTTGCAGTCTAGACGCTTTCTTGCGAAAGAGGCTTGCAGTCTAGACGTAGCCCTAGAGACTAACCCTGCTAATCTCTCAGGTGCCACAGGACTCCTCTTTGTTTTTACAAGGCATAGAGAGGCAGCCTGGCACTTGCACAGGGGTGTCAGGATACTCAATCCTGGCGCTTGCCTTGTCTTCTCTGCCTGAGAAGCAGAGTGGGTTTTTTGGGGGGAAAGAGGGTGCACAGCGAAGTAAGCTGGTCTGGAGGGTAAGGAGCACGGTTACTCCCACCCCCCTGAAAGTCAAGGTGGGACTTTGTTTTTACAAGGCATAGAGAGGCAGCCTGGCACTTGCACAGGGGTGTCAGGATACTCAATCCTGGCGCTTGCCTTGTCTTCTCTGCCTGAGAAGCAGAGTGGGTTTTTTGGGGGGAAAGAGGGTGCACAGCGAAGTAAGCTGGTCTGGAGGGTAAGGAGCACGGTTACTCCCACCCCCCTGAAAGTCAAGGTGGGAGGGAAGATTCCCGCTGATGCCGGAGCAGAATTTCCTCGCCCCCTCAGAGACTTGCCGAACTGGTTATCCAGCAGGTCAGCGCGAGCGGAACCCAGGTGTCCTGGCCACCCCCCTCCCCCGCCACGCCG